TCTAACGTCTAACGTCTAACGTCTAACGTCTAACGCTAACGTCACGTCACGTCACGTCACGCACGCACGCACGCACGCACGCACGCACGCACGCACGCACGCACGCACGCACGCACGCACGCACGCACGCACGCACGCACGCATGCACGTACGCACACACAAACATGTATGGGTATACGAACCAGCATGATGAAATGCTACTCCGTACTGCAAGGTCCGGCTGAGGATTGCATCGACACCAACCGGCGTCCTTCTAAGCTGCTCCAACACGTCACGCAATGCCCGCCCGTCTAGCTGCAGAGGGGGCGCCGCCGTAGCCGCTGTTAAACAGTAAACAGTTCGGAAATATAGATGACAGATTGCTTCAACTCCTACTAAAAAGTCAAGAACTCTCAAAAGTTATGACGCCTGCACTGATCTACAATTTGGTAAAGAGTACGAACTTACTGTACTCACATATATCTACACACGATCACCAGCCAGAAATGGAGTGGAATTTACTCTACTTACATCATTTATATCTACACACGATCGCCAACCAGGAATGGAGTGGAATTTACTCTACTTACATATATCTACACACGATCGCCAACCAGGAATAGAGTGGAATTTACTCTGTAACAACCACGTAACAAGGCACTCCCCCCTCCCCCCCTCACGTCGACCGAAACATTCATTCTACGGCGTTGCCCCTAGCAACCACGCGCGATCAATACGGCCTGCTGGCCATTCATTCTACGGTGTTGCCTTAGCAACAACGCGCGATCAATACGGCCTGCTGGCCGGGCGAGCTGAGCAGTCAAAGATGGCGGCCCGCCCACGCCGCAACGTGCTGCTGGGATACCGCTATGTCACGGGCACCCACGCCGGCTGGTTAGGGGATTAACACCACCTTCCCCAATTAGCGGCGCGTGCGTGCCGTGATTAGTGGTGCCGGCCCTAGCATGGAGGCGAGACCTGGTGACGCCCCGCGGCTAATGCGATGCGACTTTAGAGCCGCTCAACCGTGAGGTGTCACCGGGTGGTGGGATTAGCTGGATTAGATGCGCTAAACGCACCGTGAAAAGCTATTAATGCCTGGGACGGCGGCCATGTTGGGCACGCGTGACGCGTTCGTGCGGATAGACGGCGCCACCTCCTGGACGGTGCTGCTGCGGAATAGCGGGTCTCCCCGTTAGGGGCCGCCACCATCCAGGGCAAAGGTGGTGAAGCCAAGCGGAAGCCAAGCGAACGCGGATGAGACGGACGCGGTGGTTGGTGCGCGCAGCACGTGGGTGAACATGCACCGCGCGCGTGGCAGCGCCTATAAAAGCTGCTGCACGAGCAGAAATCGAGGAATGCTCTCCTAACTCCAGACGCGATCGCCTGTGAACTTGTATACGTGAAGCAATAGCGAAATTCAGTCAGCATTAAACAACATCAGTCATGGTATATATTCTTTGACTTCTCTTTGTCTATGTCTTTTGGCTACGAGTACGACATCATAATATACAACTGTATCGTAACGTAAAACTCTGCGTTACAACTCTACTTACATATATCTACACACGATCGCCAACCAGGAATAGAGTGGAATTTACTCTACTTACATATATCTACACACGATCGCCAACCAGGAATGGAGTGGAATTTACTCTACTTACATATATCTACACACGATCGCCAACCAGGAATGAAGTGGAATTTACTCTACTTACATATATCTACACAGGATCGCCAACCAGGAATGGAGTGGAATTTACTCTACTTACATATATCTACACACAATCGCCAACCAGGAATGGAGTGGAATTTACTCTACTTACATATATCTACACACGATCACCAACCAGGAATGGAGTGGAATTTACTCTACTTACATATATCTACATACGATCACCAACCAGGAATAGTGGAATTTACTCTACTTACATATATCTACACATGATCGCCAACCAGGAATGGAGTGGAATTTACTCTACTTACATATATCTACACACGATCGCCAACCAGGAATGGAGTGGAATTTACTCTACTTACATATATCTACACATGATCGCCAACCAGGAATGGAGTGGAATTTACTCTACTTACATATATCTACACATGATCGCCAACCAGGAATGGAGTGGAATTTACTCTACACACATATATCTACACACAGTCACGAACCAGGAATCAAGTAAAAGCAGATTCGACTCGACCTTTACTACAGTGACTTAGAACTGATCCCAAAAGAGATGAATACATCTGGATGCATACCACCTGTAAAGTCTGTCGCTGTTGCTTGTTGCGTCAACCATACCTACACTAGTGTCTTAGAGGTGATCCAGAAGAGATGTGTGGACGTATACCGCCTGTGATGTCCGTAGCCGTTGCTTGTTGCATCAACTAGACCTATACTACAGTGTCTTAGAGGTGATCCAGAAGAGATTTGTGGATGTATACCTCCCGTAACGTCTACCACTGTTATTTCTTGTGCCAACTAAACCTACACTAAATTGACTTAGAGTTGATCCAAAAGATATTTATGGATGCATACCGCCCGTGACGTCCATCGCCGTTGCTTGCTGCGTCAACTAGACCTATACTACAGTGTCTTAGAGGTAATAAAACAGATGTCTGGATGCGTACCGCCCGTGACGTCCGTCGCCGTGGTTCGTTCGCGGAGCATGTTGTAGAACTCTCTCGCTGCTGTATCTGCCAGCACCTCGCACCACTTCTTCGTCGGACAGAACACAAGTACGGAGTGACCGGCGGTCACCGTCTCCACACACAGCTGCACGACTCCGTCCGAGTCGCCTGCGGATAAGACAAACAAGTACTGTATACGCCATATTTTTCGGGTACAGATATTTTCGCAAATTCAGACTTGACGGACAATTTCGCAAATGGTTAATTTTGCGGTCGGTGAATTATGAATTATTCGGTATGAATTATTCGCGTGTTGTTAATTTCGCGGTCGGGGACGCGTTCACGAAATTCGCGAAAATTAAACCACCGCGAAATATACAGCGTATACAGTATCATTGGCATCACGCCAGCAAGGCTAACGAAGAGGTTCGACTTCAGGAAATAGAAACGATTTTCAATTTGTGAATTTTTTCGCTGATCATTCATAACCCGTACCCTGATCATCATTTTTTTTTCATCTTCGGTAGACTCACACAAGCTTTCAAAGCTCAATGTTTCAGAGATCGTTCGACAACAACGGTTTCGAAGTAACATTAAAAATTTGTTTGCATTGCTCTACAAGTGGAATTACATTATACAGGTAACATGATGGCCCTCACGATTACGCTGAGTGACAACCAGCACATTTACACGCCCATTGTTGCACTGAATCTCACGAGAGCATGACCCAAAAAAATATAAAGGATATTAGGAATATTTGACATTTGAGTCAATAAACTTCTGAGCAAACACTGTGAGTACAGTTGTCTTTTTTCATAATCGATTATTTATTTTCATAAATAATGTCGGTTGCTGCAAACTACTGACTTTCAATTATAATCGATCATCAAGACATCACTATATTTACATGCCCATTATAGCACCGAACCCTACGACCCTTACCTTTGACGGCTCTGGTAGCGAATGACCTTAGCTTGTTGAGCTTGGAGTCGTATATCGCGTTGCCGATCTTTACGTGTTCGGCCAGCGGCACGGGTCTGTAGTCTGTCGTGTAGAGTCTAGCCTGGAGCCAGCGTGCGAGAAGGTCAAGGTTGGGTAAGGTAGCGCTCATGCCCACTATCTGCACGCCGTTGCACCTGCAGGCAAGACAGACGAACGTCGAAATCGCATCGCGATCACGCTCCTACGAGCTTTTTACAGTGAAATTTTTCTCTCTCAATTTTTACAGAAAAAATTGATGACGGTATCTTTTCAAGTTGACTCCCGAGCGTTTGAGCATGTACATCGAAATCTTGGTGGTTTGCGGAAGTCGGCAAAAAATGCCCGAAAGTTTGAGAAATTCACAGAAAACGTTAAAATATGTTTCATCCTTATAAATTATAATACATAATTATAAACCATCAACTCACAACCCCTACAAATTATGAATCACGACGTGTACACTGTTTGCTTTCACACTATGTTAACTTTACATTGCCTTTACTCTCCCCACAGGTTGGTTCAATCATGACTCGGACCTCACCTGTTAGCCTCATTCTTCAAGTCGTGGTAGCGAATTTTCGTCAGTAGCAGTTCTAGCAGGTAACCACGGTTAGAATCCCCGATCATGTGAAGCTCATCCACTACAACGATGCCTGCATGCGCGCACACACGCACAGAGAGAGAGAAGAGAGACGGATATGTCAAGATGACGAAAATTTACCTTTTCTTTGTCAGTAGTTACAGGTCATTAAAAATAACCATGGGAACATGGCGAAGGACAGTGGAGAAAGAAAGGATTACATTAGGGTTTAAAATATGGAACAAAGCCGAAAGAGCTGCCACAGATAGAACGTCATGGAGAAATTTCATTTCCAGCCCTATTCTCCCCGAGGAGAGAATGAACTAAGAAAAAGAAAAATATCCGTGAGAACACTAAAGTTATAGGGAAAGTGCGTACACTGCGCAAGCACCCGCACATGCACATCTGAGGTGTGACGCTTTCTCCTTCAGTAATTACGACCACAAAAAATGTGCCTAAAAACCCACGAAATGTAACTCCGAGACATTACAAAAGATCTGCGAGGATTATTCACGAGAAATGGAGCAAGCGCAAAAAGAAACCGCTTGCAAATCGTTTGCAAACCCGCGGCAACGTCGCATCGCAATCGATTTCAATAAAAATACAATTCAATAAGGCTCTACGAAATTAGCTCTGAACGTGGGACAGAAGATGAAATGAAAAAAATAATGGGAATTCTAGAATTTAATTGGTGGAAAGCTTTAATCTCGTGCCGTCGAAACTGCACGTGAAAGGGTGACAT